AGTTATAGATGGAGACAGAGAGAGAGAGAGGTCTTCTGTCCAGTGGTTCACTCCCCAAATGGCCACAATGGCCAGAGCTAGGCTGATCCGAAGCCAGGAGTTGGGAACTTCCTCCAGGTCTCCCACATGGGCGCAGAGGCCCAAGCACGTGGGCCATCTTCTACTGCTTTCCCAAGGCCATAGCAGAGAGCTGGATGGGAAGAGGGGCAGCCAGTAAACGAACCGGTGCTGCAGGCGGAGGCTTAGCCTATTACTCCACATCGCTGGCCTGAGATGCAGCCATCTTAACCACTAGGCAAAATGCCTTCTCTTCATTTCCCCTTCCTTTAAAAATGTTTATTATTTTTAAAGTTATTTTGGAGACAGCAAGTGAGCTTCCCTATTTGCTGATTCACTCCCCAAATGCCCCCAATGCCTGGAACCAAGGTGGGAGCCAGGAGCCAGGAATGCCATCCAGGTCTCCCGCAATGGTGGCAGGAACCCGGTTGCTTAAGCCATCACTACTGCCTCCTGTGCTGAAGGTAAGAGTTGGAGCCAGGAGTCAGTGTGGGGTGCAGGCTTCCTAGCAGGTAGGCTGAATGCCTGCTCCAGGTTCTGCTGTTTTGAAAGGTCCCTCCACAAATTGCCTCATTGGCACTGCTAAATACGTGGTCATTTCTTCCTTATCGCCCAGGGCATTCCTAAGAATTTTGCCTCTTTAAATTTCAGATATCAACTCTACAAATAGACCCAAAAGCCATGGTATTATCCCTATATTTGTCTTCAAGTGTGTCTACACTGAAATGTATTAGAAAAAGGAAAATTTCTCCTAGTATGAATGTAAATCTCCCCATAGGAGAAAACCACTTTTCTTGTGTAGTCATTAAAGTTGTTTGAAAATTCTGTTAACCTTGCCTGAACTCCTCATTCTGCTTCCATATTTATTTTTCCTCGATATGACCCAGGTAAATCTGTAAAACAAGTGGTTATGTTTGCTTTTATCTACTTTCAAAATGTTGTCAAGTGATGTACCAGCTGTGTGTGTGTATGTTTGAGAGAGAGAGAGAGAACAAAATGTGTGTGTGCTTGACAGGCTTACTGATCTTTATTTCTTTTAATATTTCATCTCCTATTTTCTTTTTCTTTTTTTTTTTTTTTGACAGGCAGAGTGGACAGTGAGAGAGAGAGACAGAGAGAAAGGTCTTCCTTTGCCGTCGGTTCACCCTCCAATGGCCGCCGCGGCCGGTGCGCTGCGGCCGGCGCACCGCGCTGATCCGATGGCAGGAGCCAGGAACCAGGTGCTTTTCCTGTTTCCCCGTCTCTCCTGGGCCCAAGCACCTGGGCCATCCTCCACTGCACTCCCTGGCCACAGCGGAGAGCTGGCCTGGAAGAGGGGCAACTGGGACAGAATCCGGCGCCCCAACCGGGACTAGAACCCGGTGTGCCGGCGCCGCTAGGCAGAGGATTAGCCTAGTGAGCCGCGGCGCCGGCCCATCTCCTATTTTCTAATCATGTAGTCATAGTTGCTACTTTCTTTTGAACTCCATATATATTGTTAAGCTAAACTCACATTTAAAAAAAAAAAGATTTATTTATTTGAAAGGCAGAGTTATAGAGAGAAGGGAGGCAGGGAGAGAGGGATCTTGTAGCCACTGGTTTATTCCCCAGTGGCTGCAATGGCTGGGGCTGGGCCAGGCTGAAACCAGCAACCTGGAACTCCATCTGGATCGTCCATGTGCACACAGGGGCCCAAGCACTTGGACCATCTCCTGCTGCTTTCTCAGGTGCCTTAGCAGGGAGCTGGATTAGAAGTAGAGCAGCCAGGAATTGAACCAGCATCCATATGGGATGCCAGCTTCGCACGTGGTGGCCTAACCTGCTATGTCACAATGCCTGCTCCCTAAACTTCCAACATTTCAATGCAAGCTTTAACAAATGATTTTTTAAACTGAGACAAGATTAAACATTATATATGTGTGTGTAAATATATATATATGTATATATATGACAGGCAGAGTGGACAGTGAAAGAGACAGAGAGAAAGGTCTTCCTTTGCTGTTGGTTCACCCTCCAATGGCCACTGCGGCTAGCGCACTGAGGCCGGTGCATCGCGCTGATCCAAAGCCAGGAGCCAGGTGCTTCTGGTCTCCCATGGGGTGCAGGGCCCAAGCACTTGGGCCATCCTCCACTGCACTCCCAGGCCACAGCAGAGAGCTGGCCTGGAAGAGGGGCAACTGGGACAGAATCTGGCGCCCCGACCGGGACTAGAACCTGGTGTGCTGGCGCTGCAGGTGGAGGATTAGCCTATTGAGCCACGGTGCCGGCCAAACATGATATTTTTAAAGTATGTGCCAGCATGTGGTTCAGAGGGTTAAGCTGCCGCTTATGCCGGCATCCCATTTCAGAGTGATAGTTTGAGACCCAGCTGTATTGCTTCCAATCCAGTTGACTGCTAATGTGCCAGAGAAAGCAGCAGTGGAAGACGACCCAAGTATTTTGGGCCCCTGCCATGCATGTGAGAGAAGTTCCGGTCTCTCAGCTTTAGTATGTCCCAGCCTGGGCTGTTGTGGCCATTTCAGGAATGAACCAGTAGATGGAAGATCTCTCTTTCTCTCCCTCTCTTAGTCACTCTGCTTTTCAAATAAATTAAAAAAAAATCTGTAAAATACTAAAAAGCATTTCCTTTTTATGAAGTTCTATATATTTTTTCATTTGTGTAAGAATTCCAATATGGAATAGATAAGGAATTATCCCAGGAAGTCAGTTTATAAGCAGAGCCAAAAATAGTTGTACACCATAGTATCTGAGGCATACTTTATTAGAATGTTAATAAATCAAACTATTTTATAACTCTAATAAATGAAAAATGGAATATAAGAAAATGAATTCAAATATTTTATTTCTTCCTTCAGATTGCTCTCTGAGCCTCCTGGTTTTTCTACAAAGTCCCTTTCCTTCCCTCCATCAGCCTCTACCTGTCAGTCTCCAAAAGCAGTACTGACATTTTTATCAGAATTTACCAAGTGCTAAAAGGAAAATGGTTAAATGCTCTCTAAAGAAATTTGCCACTTGCATATTTTATTAAATGTGAATTCAGGAAACAAACTAGTTAAAATGTGAGAAAACTCATAAAATCTATATTTTAAAGAATTGTTTCCTCCTATAGTTAATTTGACTTGTTCAGTGATTTAAAGTTTGTTGCTATATTTGCATCTTCTTTATTTTGATTCTTATAGAGAAATTTCTACTCTCCATTTGATTTCTTGTAGTATGTCCTTTCTTTAGTGAGTGACAAAGACAGATATGGAACATTCAAGGATAAAATTGAAGGAAAAAATGTAAAAATGGTACATCACTTGACAACATTTTGAAATGATCATTTTTACCATCTAAATTTTTGGAGTGGTTAATTTGAAAAAATATTATTTGATTATTTGAAAGAGAGAGATCTCTTATCTATTGGTCTACTCCCCAGATGCCTCCAACAGATGGTGCCTGGGCCAGGTCAAAGCCAAGAGCTGGGAACTCAGTACATGTCTCCCACATTAGGTGTCCCAAGTACTTGAGTCAGTGCCTGCTGCCTACTGGGATATGCATTAGCAGGAAGGTGGAATTAAGAGCAGAGTGGGGATTTGAACCCTGGCAGTCAGATAGGGGATCAGGTGTTTCAAGTGATATCTTAACCACTGTGCCAAACATCTCCCCCTAGAGTGGTTAAAATTTTAATGATTTTCCAACAATGGATATACTGGTGATATGTTTTCAGTGCATAAAAGCTTTAAAAATGAAAGAGGATGAAGAAGTAAACCAGGATCATAAAGTGATAACCAGAGATAATAAAGTGGTTGGAATTTTAGGCAGTGGATGTATTTTTGATTTCCTTGAGTCTTTTGCTTTGCTTTCTGGAGTCCAACATTGTGCTGGGCAGCAATGCTTTGTAGGCCACATGGGAAACGTAGCCCACATTTTCGCATCAAGTAGTCATGACACGTCTCAGTGAAAGTATAATTTCTGTGAAATGTAGAGCCTCAAGGAAGAAAGGGAAAATAATATTGAACAGAAGACAATAAGGGCAGACTTTGGATTCTTATTTGATCTCTTTTGGAGGCATAGGTAACACGTTTTTTCCTGAAGTGTATTACAAAGGTATCAACTTTATATAGAAGGCCAAAGAGACAGCCAGTGAGATCTCTGAATGAAGGATTGCCAATGTTCTTCAGTGCTTCCCACCTGAGAAGTCTAATATTTGAAGCTTTGAATCAGAACCATTAAACTTACACTGACTTCCGTATGTATGTATTTGAGATGCAGAGATACCGAAAGACAGAGACATTCCCCAAACTCCTGCAATGGCTGGGACTGGGTTGGGCTGAAGTTTGGAACTGGAAACTCAATCCAAGTCTCCAATATTGGTGGTAGGAGTCCAGTCACTTGAGCTATCACTGCTGTCTCTTAGGGTCTACTTTAGCAGGAAACTGGAGTCGGAAGCCAGAGCTGGGAATTGAACCCAGGTACTCTGATATGAGATGTTGGGGCTAAATGTTCAGCCCCAGAACCACTAAAATCTTGTGTCTAATTATCTTGGCTGTTCCTGACCCACATATTTAAGAATAAAATTTATAATATAAATTATATATAATATATAATAGTATAATAGTAAAATTTAATGAGTAAAACATATAGTAAGGGTAAAATTATTTTAAAGCATTAACAAAAAATGAGTGGGGATTATATTCATTGCCTATCATGTAAGCCTTAGAATGAAGGAGACTAAGAGTGAGGCAGTTAAAGAATGAAGTTATGGAGCATTTGTTTCAAAGTGTTGACTTGCAGGTTACCATGGATGAGGTTTCATGAAGCTTCTGGAAGGTCAACCCGTCCCTTATAGAGGAGAGTTTGGTCTTTAGGGATCTCATTTTACTACATTTATCACCGAATCACATCCATGAGTCTTTATGGGTTGGAAGACATGATTTTCACAGACTCTTAACTAATCATATTTATCTCTGGTTTATTCACAGGCATTTGAATGAAGAGTATCATGATGACTCAAGCCCATCTTCATTCCCTGTGTCTTCTTATACTTTATTTGGTAAGAGAGTAGATGTGTTTCTCCATTTATTTACTAGAATACTTCTGCCATCTTCCTACCCTTACCAGGGAAAGAATAGTAATCATCCCTGTAAAGAAAAAAATGTACTCATGAACATTAAGTTGCCATATGGAGTGGGCACTAGTTTGTCATCATATATTTTCAGTGAGATGTTACCTATCATCTGTCTCTCCTTCAACCTGGGGAAGTACTTTCTTGTCAGCTCTTAAAAGCCAGTATCATTTGATGGGCAAAGTTCATAACAATCCATTCAGGGCTAGACCTTCAGGTGTAGTTCAAGGAATCCAGAAAAAAATTAGAGTGATATATATGAATATGTACATATTCATTAGTCTGTGTCCCTTAAACTTGACTTTTTTTTTACTTTGACAATGAAAAAATTGCACCCAAACATCAAGAAAAGCATTTTCTCTATTTTTGACTCCCCCTACCCTGTTCTTTTCATAGTTGGCTTGGAATTTTGGGGTTAAATTGGTTCTCAGCCATTTGTTGACAAAGGTTTCCTGAGCTTAGAGCTGGATGGAACTTGGGGGTCCCAGCCATCATCCTTGGGCTAGACAGTGGGATTCAATCCTTGTTTTCCCACGGGGCTCCTGATATTCCCAAAGCTTGCCAAGAAATTTGTTGTATTATAAAGCAGGATTATGGGAGTGTATTTTCCTTTCTCTAATATAGAAGTTCCTAGATCCTTACACCTCAAATCTTGTTTCCCTTTCTCTGGAATCCACAAATAACACACCAAACTCCAAATCCCAGAGAGCCCTAAGAGCCTACACATTTCAAAATATTTATAAACAGAGTCAGACTTGTACAGCTAGCAGAGCCGTCCCTGTTGGACAGTGTGTATGTGTGTGTGTGTGTGTGTGTGTGGTGGGGGGATGTAGTTCAAACTTCTTGAGCAGTGTGCATCCTCATGGTCTGCAGATTCGAAGCTTGTCCCCAGGATGCGCTGCAACGGCTGGTTCACACACCCCCACTCACTGTCTCTCTTCTTCCTCTTCTTCCTGTCCTCCTGGACACCCTTTGATATTTACAGTATCCCAGGATGGTGGCAAAGTCAAGCCTGGCTTCAAACTCAGTGCAGCTACTTACCAGGAAGCAGAAACTGAGTGACTCACCCAAGCTTTCAACTTCAGATCTCTGCCCCGTGACACAGGTCTCATGATACAGCTGGGATTGGGGCATTAGGGATGCCCAGTCTGTCAAGTCTATGCATGTTTTTCAAAGTCTGAAAAAATCAGAAAATTGGGACATTTCTGGTCCCATGAATTCTGGAGAAGGGATACTCAATCTGTAGTACTTGCCTTAAGAGATGCTGTTGTAATTTAATCAGACCACATTTATTAAATTCTTGGATCAGTGAGTGGCATACTCTAAGAACTCAATAAACAGTAGCTGTCTATCACTATAGCATTTTGGGTCCTCAGGGCATGCATCTGAATGGGCCCCGATTTCCACAAGGAAGGGGCTGCATTTTAGTCACCTTTGCAGATTTAGTGCCTGCAGAGTGGTGGCAACAGGGTAGAAAGAAAATATGCAAATGGAGGCTTATGTTAAGAAATGGCACTCTGAGATCTGTGGGGAGGGGTAAGATTCTGTCTCAGCAATTTGATATTAGTAGACTCTTGCTTGTTGCCTGAGCATGGAACACACATTTTTCTTCCTGGACAAAAGTGAAAATGAGGTTCCCTTCTCTCTACTTGCACCCCTATGGGATTTCTACTTAGAGTGAAACAATGGCCCAAAGCACCGCTGGCAGCGAGAGCCTTGCCCAGGAGGTGGACTCAGCAGAGTTGTCTTCGAGTGAAGGCAGGAGGTCGCTCCCTCCTTGATGAGGTCTTGGGGGTTTTGCCATGGAACCACTTCTCTCTCTTGCCTCTGTCCACCTCATATGCCAACTCCTTTCTATGAAGACTGGAAGTTTAGTTGGAGCTTCCTGCCTGCCACTTGAGAATCATCAGCCAATTATTCCAACACTGTGCATGGCTCTTCTGTTTTTTTTTTTTTTTTTTTTTTAAAGATTTATTTGTTTTTTTCTTTTAAAGGCAGAGTGACAGGGAGGAAGGGAGGGGATGGGTGAAGGGGTGAAGAGAGAGAGAGAGAAACTTCCAGGTCTTCCACATTGGTGCAGGGGCCCAAGCACTTATGCCATTCTCTGCTGCTTTTCCAAGGTGCACTTACAGAAACCTGGATTGAAGGTAGAGCAACTGGGACTTGAACAGGTGCCCATATGGGATGCTGGTGCTGCAGGCTGTGGCTTCATCAGCTATGCCACAGCACTGGTCCCTCTTCTGTGCTAAGAGCTGGTTTCATAGGAGACTGGAAACGCAGCAGTGACACAGTGCAGAGCACGGAAGAGAACAAGTAGGCAACCTAGGGATATAGAAAGGGTGCTGAGCAGGGATGCAGGGGAACCCAAGAAGAAGCCATCGATTGTAGTATTTGCCTGGGACTTCCGGGAGGAAGAGGGCTTGGCACAAATTCTACACAATCAATATGTTGAACTCTTGCTGGCGTCTCCGAAGCAGGCCGACCTGGCAGGCGCTGTGGCTCCTTTGGTTTAGAAGGCAGTGTGGCAATGTGGTTGAGAGTCGGGACTTGGTGGGGCACCAGGGCTGGCGCATGTCTTGGGGCAGCACTAAATGATCTGTGAGTGTGTTGCCTCTGCTGTGGGGCTACTCTGCAGAACGGCATCCCGAGAGCACAGATCAGAAGAGATGAGGTATGTGGGTGCCAAGTCCATTGCTGCCACGCAGGAGAAACTGGCTGTGTCATCCCATTCACTTGCCTTTGGTTCAGCTCTTGCTGAAAAGATGGCGGGTGCTCTCCTTCCGAGGCTGGCATGGAGCCACCCTCTTGCTCATTCCTAGGTTTCCACCACACAGTCCTGCCTACTTCCGGCGGTGAGGCTTGGTGACTCACCATAGGTGTGCACACGGATTTTGAAATCTTTATAGCCCCAATAGCCGCCCTAATGGGCAGGAAGAGTTTCGTTGCCCTGATACAAGGATGCAACTTTGAACCCTCGAGCTCAGACACAGCCTTCCTTTTCTGATTAAGCCAGGCAGCTTGTCTGCCTGTGCAAACCACAGCCTTGCTCCCCACAGGCAGGCTGGTGAGTGTAGTGTTCTCTGATGTGGCCGGCGGGAAGGCTGACCGCCTGCTGACTGGGGGCAAAGTTACTGAAGGTGCCTGGTGTCAGGCAGCAAAGCACAACCCTCCTCCTGCACCAGCCACAGCGCCACGCCACCACGCCACCAGCTGTACCAAGAACTTGTGCCCCACCTTCCAGAGGAGATAATGGAACTGGTGAAGACTGGAAATGGAGCGGGAGGGCGGAGGAAGAGGAGGAAGGAAGAGCCAGCTGAAAGTCTGCGGAATTATTGTGCGAGTTAAGAATGTTTTCAATAAGTATTTGGGGATGTAGAGATTGTGCCTGGATTTGAACGTTATGTATACATGTATTGAAATATCACATAGTGCACATAAATATGTACAATTTTTTATATCAAAGTTATTGCCATTATTATTTTTTTTGACAGGGAGAGTCAGACAGTGAGAGAGAGAGACAGAGAAAAAGGTCTTCCTTCTGTTGGTTCACCCCCCAAATGGCCGCTATGGCCAGCGTGCTACTCAGATCCAAAGCCAGGAGCCAGGTGCTTCTCCTGATCTCCCACGCGGGTGCAGGGCCCAAGCACTTGGGCCATCCTCCACTGCACTCCCGGGCCACAGCAGAGAGCTGGACTGGAAGAGGAGCAACCAGGACAGAATCTGGCGCCCTAACCAGGATTAGAACCCGGAGTGCTGGCACTCCAGGCAGAGGATTAGCCTAGTGAGCCATGTGCCGGCCTATTTAAAATTATTATTAACAATTAAAAATGTTTTTTGGCTACTAGTCACAGGAAATTTGACTTTAGAGCATTTTAAATAAATAGGGGTTTATGATCTCAGGTAACATGGAGCCTGGAGTGGCAACTCAGGGCAGGTTGGCAGTTCCACCGTGTTATCAGAGGCTTGGGCTTATCTCTCTTGCCACTACCATTTTTAAAAAGATGTATTTATGGGACCAGCTCTGTAGTGTAGTGGGTTAAGTTGCCACCTGCAGTGCTGGCATCACATATTGGTGCCGGTTTGAGTCCCAGCTGCTCCACTTCTGATCCAGCTCTCTGCTATGGCCTGAGAAAGCAGTAGAAGCCAGCCCAAGTGCTTGGGCCCCTGCACCCGTGTGGGAGGCCTGGAAGAAGTTCCTGGCTCCTGGTTTCAGACAGGCCCAGCTCTGGCCATTGCAGCCATTTGGGGAGTGAACCAGTAGGTAGAAGATTCATTCCTTCTCTTTCTCTCTATCTCTCTGTTTCTCTGCCTCTGTAACTCTACCTTTCAAATAAATAAATCTTAAAAAAAATGTATTTGTTGGAAAGGCAAAGTGACAGAGAGGGAGAAAAACAGAGAGAGAGAGAGAGAAAGAGAGAGAAAGAGCTCGATCTTCTGTGCTCTGTTTCTCTCCCCAAACACCTGCAACAGCCAGCCTGAAGCCAGGAGCCAGAAACTCCACCTGGATCTCCCATGCAAGTGGCAAGAACCTAGATACTTGGGATATCATCTGCTGCTCCCCAGGCACATTAGCTGGGAGCTGGATCAGAAGCAGAGTAGCTAGAACAAACCAGGCCCCATCCATATGGGATGTGGGTGTTGGCCCTCTACCACCTTTTGAGCTCAATTGTCCCTCATGGTTCCTGATGGCTGCCCAAACTGCAGATATATCCCTGTCTCAGCAAGAATCAAGGGGAATGGCAATGCTGGCCATATCTTTTCTTGTTTGATGTTTTTTAAAGATTTATTTATTTGAAAGGCAGAGTTACAGAGACAAGATAGAGAGAGAGCCAAGAGATCTCCATCTACTGGTTCATTCCCCAAATGGCTACAGCGGCTGGGGCTGGGCCAGGGGGAAGACAGGAGCCAGAAGATTCTTGAGGGTCTCCCACATGGTTATCAGCATTGGGCCATCTTCTGCTGATTCCCCAGGTGCATTAGCAGGGAGTTGTTTTGGAAGTAGAGCAGCCAGGACTCGAACGGGGGCCCCTGCGGGATGCCAGCATTGCAGGCAGGGGCTTACCCTGCTGAGCCACAGTGTTGGCCCCTGTCCTTTTCATTTTTAAAATTTTCATTTTATTTTTGAGGCAGAGAAAGAGACACACAGGGAGAGAGCGAGCATGCTCAGAAGACAGCATGCATAGAAGCGGGCACTCCCATCCACTGATTCACTTCCCAGTGGGCTGGGAAGCCCAGTGGGCTGGGCCAGGCTGAAGCCAGGTGTCAGGAACTGAATCCAGATTATGAATGTGGGCGGCAGGGACCCAAGTACTTGAGCCATCGTTGCCGTCTCCTAGGATTGTATGAGAGCAGGAAACTAGAATTGGGAGTGGAGCTGGGACTTGAACTTGGGTACTCTGATACGGGATGCAAGTGTCTCAAGTGGTATCTTGACTGCTAGGCCAAACACTACCCCAGTCCTCTTTCAATCGAAAACCAGCACCTTGCCAGGATCTCTCCCCACTTCTTAGACTTCCTCCTCTTGCTTCATGAATAATAACAGGGTCACTTGGCCACCCTTGTGGCTGCGGGGGAGCCGAGAAAGTGACAGTTGGCTTCTTGTTTGTTATTTCTTTGTTATCAGACAATCAGGATCAACTTAGTGAAGACTCAGCAAAGGAGGGATGTAGTGTAAGACCTTCCCGCGTCTCCCACAGACGGGCTGTTCTTGGGCTACTCCCTGCAGGCAGCAGTTTCTATGGAGAGACCGCCCTTGTTCTCCTTAAAGTGGAAAACGAACTCTCCTCTCCCCTGCCCAGTTCTTACTGTGCTGGTTTTGCTGATCTTGCTCCAAAAACCACTGACTGGCCATGTCCTGCTTCTCATGCCAATCTTTCCCACCTCTGACTTCCACCACAAACAGGAGACCCAGAGAAACACCTGGGAAGGAGGGGAGGCTGCCGCCGCTGGGTATGGGGCACTGGGTCCCTGGTCCTAGAAGACATCCGTGTGAGGGCATGACTGGCTCATTCTTCCTGTGTGCTCCCTTCAGAGGGCCCTCCTGGGGAGGCTCAGTGCTCCCCATTCTCTGGCTGGAGAGAGTTACCCTGCATGCACGTCCCCAGTGAGGCTGGCTACGCTCCGGGTCACCTTGGTCACTTTTGCACCCCCACCATGGGCAGTCAGTGAGGCGTAGTGGCCAAGAGTGTTGGTTCCGGCTACTCCCTGGGAAAATTGCTTAACTTCCCTGTACCTGAGTCACAGCACCTATAAAACTGGGCTAACAGTAGTCATTCCCTCCGGCAGGATAGTCCCTGGGATGAAACGTGCTTAGGGCAGAGTTCCTTATGCTTAAAGAGCTTTCCTTACTGTCCTGGACGCTCTGGTTACGATTCCACCTGGGTGTGGCTGGCTGAGGGGCTGCTTCGCTTTTAAGTTTAGGCTCTTTGCATTTCTGGACCCAAAGCAGGGGTTCTACCACTTGGGACTACTGCTTGGAGTAAATCTTCTTGTGTTTTCATTTTTTCTTTCTAAATAAGCAGAAAGAGCTAATCAAGTGTTAAAACCAGTAAACTTTTCTTGAGTGCAAATTCTTAAGATTCAAAATTCAGACTCAGATTTGACCAAAAATTACCACATAACCGTGGGCCGAGCAAGCATTAGACTAAACATGTCTGCATATTTTTTTCTCCCTTATAAATTTGGTTATCCTTGAGGTGACTGTGAACTCCAAAGCACCAAGACTGTGCCTTGAATGTCCTTATCCAATCACAGGAGTAGTGAGAGGTGTTTGAAGAAGCTGATGCCAGTCAAGTAGAACTGAGAAGGCAGAGTGGCAGTGTGGGAGACCCTGTGCTTTCGCTCAGTTGGACTCCAGCGTCACCTCTCTAAGCCCCTTTTATTACACAGGAATGTTAATATTCTTCCCGTTTTTTTCTTCCCCATTGTTCTTGTGGTTAAACTTGAAAAGCAATGCAAACTTCAGACCAAGGTACTTTGACCGGTGGAGCCCCTGTGTGTCATGATCGGATTTCACATTGTTTGCAGCCGTGAGAGAATCCTGTGTTTCAGGGATCAGTTCTGGAAGACCTGACAAAAATCAGCAAGTCACACACACACACACACACACACACACACACAGAGTCATGAGGGATGCTCACTTTCTCTCTCTGTTCACAGGCAGCTGGATATGGCCAAGACGGGAAGTTTAGTGGACCCCTGAAACCCATGACATTTTCCATGTATGAAGGCCAAGAACCAAGTCAAATCCTATTCCAGGTAAAGGCTCCCCTGGATCCCTGTCATCTTGATTTCTCAGGCTCTCGCGTGAACTTTCACTCCCTTATCTGTGGCCCAGCAGCGGCACGACAAATCTAACGATCAATCAAGAATGACCACAGCTGAGTGAAACAGCGGGGCGGGCACAGTGAGGGCAGCACCGCTCCTGCTCCTGCTTCCTCAGTCACCTCCGGAGCCAGTGAGCTCACCCGGCTCGCGGGAGCCTGGAGCCTGCAGACTCTGCCTGTTCATTGGAGTGGCTCAGTCTCTGGCCAGAGCGCTGGCCATCTGACCCCTGACCCCCAGGGCTGTCTGCTCCATAGACTTGCTGCCTGCAGCGTCTGATACCGGGCTTCTCTGAACTCAGCGTTGGAATAGACTGGCCAAAGGCCGGTCTTTCCCTTGCCGCTTCCTCTGGGCCCAGGTTTGGGGCCGCACCTGTGGGCTGGGACGCCAGCGGTGGTGGGTGGCTGTCTCACTTGGTTAGATATCTGTGAGGGGCATCAGGGCGGACTGCAGGTGGCATGAGGGACTTCCGTTACCGACGGTACTGAACCAATTCTGGAAATGTAATGGCGAAGGACGGTAACATAGGGCTGGGTTGGGCACATGTCCCCTCAGGTAGCAGCTGGCGCCCAGAGATGGGGGAGGGGCTTTAACAAGCCTCTGGGGGCGCCCAGGACCCCTCCTCACTGCTTTTACAGGGGAGCCGCGGGGGTTGCTACACTACCTTCTAAAGCAGGTGCCTTCCATTAACTACTGAGTATTGGTTTTGGGGGGACAGTTCCGGACCACAGAGGAGACACGTACGGTACAGGGTCATTGCACAGGGGCTCCCCTCAATCACTGGCAGGGGTGCACGTGTGTCTATGGCCAGCTCTGCCGGGCATGGGGTGAAAAGGGGGTTGGGCCCTGAGGACGCGGTGGGTGCATTGAGAGTCCAGAAATGGACAAGACTGACCTGGAGAGGAAGCAAGGGCAGAGTGTCTGGCAAAGGCATGGCCAGGACAGCTGCCCTGTGCAGGCAGAGGCAAAGGGCTCCAGGAGGCTGGCGGCTGTGGCCGAGAGAGCCCAGGAAAGAGGCTGGGAGAGGGGGCTTCGGAGACAGGCAGGCGCTGGCTCCCAAAGTGCTCAGGTTTCCCCCCCAAAGCAGTGGGCCTCAGTCAAGTTCAGAAAAGACCCTTGTGGCTACAAAATGGGAGGGAGAAAGGCCACTGCGGGGGAACTGGTTAGACGGCCCACTCACCCAGAGCGGTCTCCTTGTTTGCTTACTTCTCTGCTCAACCCGGGAACCCATGGGTGCAGATTCACTCTTTTTAAAATTCCTTTCGTTTGTGCATTATGCTTCACAAGCTGGTAAGAACTTTATGTGCCTAGTACACTTTTTTTTTTTAATTGACCATGTATAGAGTGCCTACTGTTAAAGCAGACGCTAAGCTGGGTACCAGGGATACGGATGACCCAGGTGCTGTGCCTGCCCCAGTGGGCAGGCAAGTGACAAGTGACAAGGACACAGGTGCGTGCCCCGAAGGTGCTGGAGCACGTCTGGTGGGATGCAGAAGGGCAAGCTTAGGTGGCAAGAGAGTGACTGATTTTTAAAATTTATTTTGAAAAATTGATGAGTGAAAATTGGATCTATCATGTACAACATGTTGCTTGGAACTCTGTGTAGACTGTGGGCTGGCTAAATCGAGCCAATTAACCACATGCGTTACGTCACATTTTTTTTTTAATGGTAAGTAAAATCTAAGAGTTACTAATGTTTCCATGAGGATGGTAGTGGGTGGACAGAAAAGTTTTCAACAGCTCCTAACCTGAATATTCAGAGATAAGTGCTTGCTCCCAAACAGGAAGCAGGCTCCGAGCACAGCAGAGGGGTAGGCATGGGTGGGGGTGTGCATTTAGTGAGAAAATGGCAGACGGCAGGTGGTCCCGAGTCTCCTCCGGAGACAATGCACAGAAGTCCCCACACCTGTGAGGTCAGGCACCTACTTGCCTGCACCATCACCACTACCTTCCAAGGTCTGTGTCGGCATGAAGCTGCAGCTAGGAGCTGGAACTGGGCGTTGAACCCACCTACTCTGATGTAGAACATGGTGGTCCTCCCTGGTGTGAAGAGAATACGTAATTTAACGGTAATAGTTAGAGATTTCAAGACAGAAAGTGGACAAGGACATAGAAGACTCAGACAACACTGTGCAACTGATGAGAAACAGATGCCTGTGGAAACTCTGATCAACAGAAAGTCCTGAGTGCTGGGATAAATGCCCACCCCTGTGGTAAATCTGAAATCAGTGTTAAGTCCTGCAATTCTTTCCTCCCTTTTCAAGAGTGTTTCAGCTATTCTGAATCTCTTTTGCATTCCTATATGAATTTTAGGATCAGTCTACAAGGCAACAGGAATTTTGATAGGAAATGTGTTGAATTTGTTGATCAGTTTAGGGAGCATTGTCACCTTGACAGTATTAAGTTTTAGATCCATAACTATGGAGAATTTATTTAGATATTCTTTAATTTCTTTCGACCATGTTTTATAATTTCCACTTTATAAATCTTGTATTTATTTGGTTAAATTTATTCTGAAGTAGGTTATTTTTTATCTTTAGGTTGTTCTTTGATAGTACATCAAAATGCAGTTATTTTTTGTAACTAATCTTTTTCTTGCAACCTTAAAAGACTTGTTTATTAACTGTTATGATTTTTGGGGGGTTTCTTTTAGGATTTTCCATATATAGAATGATGTTCTCTGAGAACAGGGGTAGTTTTACTTTTCTCTTTCCAATCTGGATGGCTTTTATTTATTTCCTCTGTCTATTTCCCTTTGATGGGACCTCCTTTATTTAGTATGATGTTAGCTGTAGGGCTTTCTTCGATGCTGTTTATCAGGCTGAGAACTTACCTCCTGTTCCCAGTATATATTTTTAATCTGAAAAGGATGTTGGATTTTGTCAAATAATTTTCTGCCTCTTTTGAGATACTCATATGGGTTTTGTCCTTTATTCTATTAATAATAATAACATTAACTGATTTTCATATATTCAACTGGCCTTTCATTCTGGGATAAATGCTACTTGATAATGACATGTAATACTTTTTATATATTGCTGGATTCAATTTGGTAGTATTTCACTGAAATGTTTGTATCTCTATGCATAAGAGATATTGGTCTGTTTTTTTGGTCTGGGTACCAGGATACTATTGGACTCACAGAATGGGTTAGGAAGTATCCCTTATTCTTCTAGGTTTAGAAAGAATTTGTGGGCCGCTGCCGCGGCTCACTAGGCTAATCCTCCCCCTTGCGGAGCCCGCACACCGGGTTCTAGTCCGGGTCGGGGCGCTGGATTCTGTCTCGGTTGCCCCTCTTCCAGGCCAGCTCTCTGCTGTGGCCAGGGAGTGCAGTGGAGGATGGCCCAAGTGCTTGGGCCCTGCATCCGCATGGGAGATCAGGAGAAGCACCTGGCTCCTGCCATTGGATCAGCGTGGTGCGCCGGCCGCGGCAGCCATTGGAGGGTGAACCAACGGCAAAGGAAGACCTTTCTCTCTGTCTCTCACTATCCACTCTGCCTGTCACTTCCCACAGCTTTCATGCTCAACACTAACAAAGGAATTTGTGAAGCTTTGGTGGTAATTACTCTGTATGTTAGGTAGACTTTACCAGTGAAGCCATCTGGTCCAGGGCTTTGTTTTATGGGAATTTTTAACTGCTAATTTAACTTCTTGTTACAGTTCTAAAAACCTGTTGGTTATTAGAGTGTGTTGTTATTTCCATGTATTTATGAACCCTCCAAATTTCCACCTATTATTGTTTGCTGATTTCATTCCATTGTTGTAAGAGAAGATACTTTATATGACTTTTTAAAAATAAAAAATTATTTTAAAATTTATTTGAGAAAGAGAAGGGGGAGCAATACAGAGTCAGAAAGAGAGACTGAGTGAGCACACCCATCCACTGGTTTACTATCCAAATGACTGCAATAAATGGGGCTGGGCCAGGACAATCCAAGTCACCAACATAGGTGGCAGGGGTCCAAGTACTTGAGCCATCATTTGTTGCCTCCTAAGGTGCACACAGCAGGAAGCTGAGTAGGGAGTGGAGCCAGTACGAACACCTCGAACACCTCCGCACTTCAGTATGGGAGATATGGATGGAGGTATCTCAGCTGACTGCTTAATTGCTATGCAAATGCCTTCCCTTACATGACTACTTCAAACCTTTTACATTTGCATTTATTTGAAAGGGGGAGGGTGGAAAGGGGAGAGAGAGGAGAGGAGAGAGAGAAGAGAGAAAAGAAAGAAAGCACTTTTATGTGCTGGTTCACTCCTCAAAGGCCTGCAATAGTTGGGGCTGGGCCAGGCCAAAGCAGGCGCCTGGAAATCCATGTGGTTACCCTGTCGGTGGCAGGGACCCAAGCACTTGAGCCGAAACTTGCTGCCTCCCAGAGTACATCTTAGCTGGAAGCTGGAGTGAAAGAGACCTGTTTATTGCCTGAGGTGTAATCTATCACAGACAATGTACCATGTGGTTGATTTTTGTTGGTAAGTGTTCCATAGGTGTCTGTTAGTTTCTAGTCAGTTTCACAGTGTTGAGTCTTCTATTTCCTTGTCCACTTTCTGTCTTGAAATCTGTACCTATTACTGTTAAACTATATATTTGCTTCAATTCGATCAATCTTCATGTATTTTGGCATCTGTTGTCAGATGCCTATATGTTTATAATTAAGTTTTCTTTGATTGGTCTGTGTATAATTTCAGAATAACCTTTTTAGTCTCTAACAATTCTATCTTAAAGTATGTTTTGTTTGATAATAGTATAGTGTAATTTCACCCTCATTTTGGTGGAGAGTTTGTTGGAGTTATAATTCTTACTTGGAAAGTTTTCTTTTTAATCCCTTTAAAGGTGTCATTTTACTGCCTTCTAGTCTCTGAGGAATCAGCTGTTAATTTCACTGAGGACTCCTTGTACGTGATGAGTGTGTGCGATTCCTAGGTTCTTTCCTGCTGCTTTGAAGATTCGCTTTGTCTTTCAGATGTTTGCTTATGGTGTGTCCAAGTTTCAGTTTCTTTGAGTTTGTCCTGCCTGGAGTTCAGTACTTTGGATGTATAGATTTGTGTATGTTTTTTTTTTTTTCCTTTTTTCCCTTTTTTAAAGATTTATTTATTTGAAAGGCAGAGAGAGAGGTAGCTTCCATCTGTTGGTTCACTCCCCCAAATAGCTTCAACAGTCAGGACTAGGCCAGGCCAAAACCAGAAATTCCATCCTGGTCTCCCACCTGAGTGGCAGGGGCACAAGTACTCAGGCCATGCTCCACTGCCTTTTCAGGGGTGTGAGCAGGAAGCTGGATTGGAAGTGGAGTAGCCAGAACTTGAACTGACCCTCTCTAGTGGGATGGCCACATCACAGTGGAGGATTAACCTGCTGCACCAAAACACTGGCCCATAGTGTCTTTTAATTTGGGAACTTCTCGTCATGATGGCTTCAAGTAATCTCACTATATGGGTTTGTTGAATGGTGTTCCATTGTCTTTGAGGTTCAGTTCATTTTTATTCCTTTTTCTCTCTGTACTTTAGACTGAATAATCTCAATTGACTTAGTTTTTTTATTCTTTTTTCAAATCTGCTTTTTAGCCCACTAAATGGATTTTTCATTTAGTTATTGTACTTTTCAACTCCAGAATTCTTATTAAAAAAAAAAAAAACAATTTCCACTGGCTTACTAATGTTCTCTATCTGGTAAGACACTGTTTTCATACTTTAGTTTATTAGAAATAGTTTCCTTTAGTTTTTTAACCTATTAAGTTATGGGGGTACTCCCAAAAGGTTGTAGAAAATGGAATTAAAAGGTGTTTATTTCTGAGCATAAAATTTTTGAAATAGGTGTGTAGTTTTGTCATAAAGGAATTTTCATGAACTTTTTGAATGCTCCTCATGCATAGTTTAAAAATCTTTTTTGCACCAAAATAAACTTACCTTGTAATTCTATTCCCCATGAACCTTTTAAAGTACCCTCATCAGTGATTTACATAGTTATCTAGTAAGTACAAGGGTCGGACCTTCTCGGGGATAGTTTATATTTTATATTGACTGCTTTTTATTTTTAAACTGAGTTGTACGTTTCATGGTGATTTGTTGAAAGTGGACATTTAAAGTAATAGAATGTGGCAACTCTAGAACTCACATCCTTTCCTTCCCCCAGAGTTTATTGCTGGTGATTTGTTCAGTGGCTTTCCGAAACTAATTCTGTAAAATATGTATTCTCTGTCATGCGTAGTCGTCGAAGTACCCTGCTCAGCTTGGTATTCAGCTAAGCACTAGATGGGAATTTCTTGAACTGTCTGGAGCCAGTCCATCTCCGAGCCCTTACTGGAGGCCACTCTGTGTAGGTTTGAGCACACCTTCAACAGTGTGGCAGGAATGTACAGCCTTGCCTTAGGGCTCACTTCTTGTAGAGAGCGCTGAGGTCAGCCCTTCTCAAGCCCTTCCTGAACAGGGGCACAGTCTTGCTCACGCATGTGGCTTTCCAGAGTCCCAGAAATCTATCAGTCAGAGGTTTTCAGCGCCTCCTGAGGACATCCCATTCCCCAGCCTTTTCTTTTAAGTATTGTGGTCAGCTTCTTATTTGCTTCAACGATAATCACAGCCTTAAGCATCTACCAATTTAAACAGTCACTGCTGACTTTTTCCATCAGATGCCCCAGTGCACTGTTGTTTATAGTGAGTTCTGAGCCGGGCCAAATAAAGGCAGGCCTGTGAGGAGATGTTCCCGGGCAAGTCAGATAGCAATAGTCCTCTGGCGGCAGGGCCTTTGGGAAGCTCCATGCCCCCTCTACCCCTTGTATGGTTGCAAAGCTGTGGATTTTCAAGACTACTGCAGATCTTTGGAAGGAATGATGGGGTTAGGGCAAGCAGAAACACCACAAAGTTTGTTTTTTCAGATGTTCAGTAGTTTTAAAAATGATAAACATTTCTTGGCTTTTGTAAGCATTTGGTTAACTTCCCAAGTTGGGAAAAAGTTGATATTTACAGCTTACTCATGTTTTCATGGCTTTATGGAGAAGTGATTGTGTGCAGGCCCTCACTCTACCTTTTCCATTGATGCTCAGCCTTTTCCTTGAAACAAACAGCAACATTTTTCATTTATTATTCAAACAACATAATCCCACCAAACACACACGCACAGGAATTCTGTTGATAGTCTTATTCACCTAACACATTAACATTTTTTGAGATAACTTTTCATTTACATTTTCATCAAGGACTTATTGGCTCTACTAAATAAGTGAAGAATTCAACAACCACAAAGTTAAAGAGGCCACAGTCCAGCAGGAATATGGCATGGGCTGTGCACAGTCACTGAAGGAACAGAGTTCAACTTCACTCACATACAGTAAATTTAAAAATAGTCGCAAAATCATTAAAAATGTGGTAGTATAGAATTCCTACCAATTTGGCAAATATTTAGAACAGATACACACAGGCATTTCTTTTTGTAAATGTTCGCTCTCCCATATAAGAGAAAACATGCAGTATTTGTCTTTCTGTGCCTGGATTATTTCACTCAACATGATGTCTTCCACAATTTCTCTTGTTTTTATAAAAATTTCATGTTCTGTTCCATTGCTATGAATAATTTTGGTACTGTCACAATCATAGGCTAGATTTATTCTCCTATCCTTTTGTTTTTGTTTTGAAAAGCAGAGAGAGAAGTTTCCTCTATCCACTAGCTCACTTCCCACATGACTGTAACAGCCAAGGCGGGGCCAGGCCAAAGCCAGCAGCAAGGAACTCCATGCGGGTCTCCCATGCGGGAGGCAGAGACCTAAGTCATTACACCGTTATCTGCCGCCTCCCAGGACGTGCACTAGCAGGAAGCTGGGTGGCAACAGAGCAGCCAGAACTGGAACCAGGTACTCTGATATGGGATGCGGGCGTCCCAAGCAGAGGTTTAGGTGCTGTGCGAAATATTCACCCCCACAATGAACTCCTTTATAAAGATTTATTTATTTATTTCAAAGGCAGAGTGACAGAGTGAGGGAGAAATGGGGACAGGGGAAGAATAGATCTGTCCTTTCGTCTGCTGATTCACTCCCCAAATGGTTGCATCAGCTAGGGCTGGGCCAGGCTGAAGCCAAGAGTCGGGAACACCATCTAAGTCTCTCACATGGGTGGCAGCAACTCAAGTACTTGACCCATTATCCACTGCTTCCCAGGTACGTTGGCAGGGAGCTGGATCAGAAGCAGAGTAGCTGGGACTTGACCCAACACTCTGAAATGGGATGTAGGGGTCCTGAGTGCGGCTTAACCTACTGTGCCACAACATTGGCTGTTCCACACTCAACATTTTTTGATTAATATTCTATAAAGTTTATATGGCATAATAATTTCACCATCTTCTTGTTTTGACCATATAGGAGTTTCCAAGTTTACAGTACTATGAATAATGTTATTTATACTACCAATATGTAGTTTATTCTTTCTTCAAGAAAATATTTCCTTAGGATAAATTCTGTTTGATAAGGCTTTCTATCAAAGCCACAAAGATGTTATGCTTCAGTTACTTCCAAAAGAATTGCATGAGTTTATATTTTAATAATATATGTACTTATTTATATCACTATTCACATTGGCATTATTTTTAAATTAGCTAATAAAATATTTAAAAATTATTAATGAGATTGAATCACTTTTATGTCTTCTTCCAGTTTAATGTGGATCATCCATTCTAATGGCCTTAAAAACTGCTAGAGCTGTCCCATGAATAGTGGTTGGTATTTTTTCACATCTGAAACAATGAGATTGTTATACAGAATTATATCAAGTTGAAGTCATTTATGAATTTTCTTCCTTAATATTAACATGTCTCTTGATCTCTGCCACAATTTTTAGAAGAACAGAGGGATATCTTTTGTTATTCCAGCAACAAAGCTACTTTTTCAATTTCTTAGAAGCTACTAATAGCATATCTTTCAGGTGACTCCAGAGAAACCCCCCTTAATCCCGGCTACAATTTAAAGCATTAATGGCTTTTGTTGATAAGTTGGATTACACACTGATTTTTTTGAGGAAAGTATCTTGAATGTCACATGGTTGAGGCACAAGCAAGCTTTTAGAATGTGCCGCTTTACAAGTGGAGGTTTTCTTATTTAGTGGTTGTGCAAAGGTAAAACTTTGCCTGGAGTTGGTGACTTCTGTAAATTCCACAGCACTGTTTTTCCTTACAACCTAATAAATTTTTTTGCTTTTTCCCAGTTTAAGGCCAATCCTCCTGCTGTGACTTTTGAACTAACTGGGGAGACAGATGGCGTGTTTCAGATACAACCAGATGGACTTCTGTATTGTGTCCAGGCCCTGGACAGGGAAGCGAGGGCTGTCCACAATCTCCAGGTGAGCCGGGACCAGACAGAAGCATCTGACTCCATCCTCTCTCTGCACCCTGGGCCTCTGTGCACTGGCGCCTTCATCCCTGCATCCCGTTGCAATGCTCCTAACAGTAATGGGTTGCCTTGCCAATTGTGTTTGTTTCTTACCAATTACAGAGGGCATGGCAAAGCACCCTCTTCTTTAGGCTTTTTGAACAGAATAACCTAACTTTAAAATCTTATTTATTTAGTTAATTAGTTATTTAGTTATTTATTTGGAAGGCAGAATGGGAAGGAGAGAGACAGATATACATACACAGATCAAAATTTCTTCATCTGCTTGTTCAGTGCCTGAATAACTTCAATAGCTGAGGTTGGGCCAGGCTGAAGCCAGAAGCCAGGAACCTCATCCAAGTCTTCCATGTGGGTGGCAGGAATTCGGGTATTTGAGCCATCACCCTCTGCTTCTTTGGCACAATAACAGGGAACTGGATCAGAAGCAGAGCAGTTGAGACTGACACTGGCACTCTGATATGGAATAGGGGTGTCCCAGGCATCAGCTTAATTCACTATGCCACATTGCCTGCCCCCCCAATAACCTAATTTACATTGCCATAACCCTCAGATGGCATTACTCAGAAATGCTGTCCTTATACTTGGGTACCTGGGTCAAAACCAAGCCAACACTTCACCGATACTTCACTAGGGCATGCCTCCAGCTCCTGTGTGGGCTCTGGACCCACAACAGAGGCATTGGGCTCCTTTGGGCTTTGGGAGAAGCAGGAGGAGCCAGTGGTCACAGGCCGACAAAGGAGATCCTTCTCCCTCTCTTTTCCCATTTGTTTTCATGGTTTCCATCTGGATACCTAGGAATGGAGGGAGCTGCCTGTGGGAAAGGGCGAGTCCACAGCTGTCTGCTTCTCTGAGGCACCTTCTGCTGTGGGCGCGGCAGGGGGACCAGCATCATGGCTCTGTAAGAGGCTGGGGTGCTTCACAGTCTCAGGGTCAGAGTGCTGTCAGGTCCCTCACTCCAGACACTGGGAAGAGCAGCACGTCCAGTGTCCAGCACGCCCGACGGCTGGAGAGCCACTGCCATGAACAGCCAGGCTTAACTGATAGGGCCCCTGTCTTACCAGTTCCCAATCTGGGCTTTTGTGGGTTCTTTTCGCCCTGAAGTCACCTGACCACTGGTTCTTTAAGCTCTACTCTCCTTCAAGCGGCTTTCGGGCCTGTGCTCTGGAGTCGAGTCTCACCAAGGTTGTTTGCTTTTCCTCCACGTCAGGTTGCAGCCCTGGACAGTCACGGAACCATTGTGGAGGGCCCAGTCCCCATCACCATAGAGGTGAAGGACATCAACGACAATCGGCCCATGTTTCTCCAGTCAAAGTACGAAGGCTCAGTGAGGGAGAACTCTCGCCCAGGTAATAGGCAGGTGCCTGGAGATATTAATGGAAAAATGGAAGGGTATTGAGTAGAAGGGTCCGATTTTTGTGACTAACAGCACAGCTATTGCTCATCAAAGCCTTTCTATCATTTAAATTTCACAGAGATCTTCTGGGAGTTGTTTTATTATCACTATTGCTCTAGAGCAGGGTTTTTCAGCCTTGGCACCGTTGACATCTTAGGCTTGATACTTTTTCTTTTCTTTGGCGCTGTCTGGTGCATGGGTATCTTGTAGGATATTTATCAGCATCTCTGACCTCTACCCACTACATGCCAGTAGCAACAACAAGAAAGTCTCCAGTCATGTCTTTGAGTGGGGGTTGGAGAAGCACAAAATCATCCACAGTTGAGAAAGTTTGTTTTAGGTTGATATTTTTTTAAAAAAAGATTTATTTATTTATTTGAAAGTCAGAGTTGCACAGAGAGAGAAGGAGAGGTAGAGAGAGAGGTCTTCCATGTGCTGGTTCACTCCCCAACTGGCCGCAATGGCTGGAGCTGCACTGATCCAAAGCCAGGAGCCAGGAACTTCTTCTGGGTCTCCCATCTTCTACTGCTTTCCCAGGCTATAGCAGAGAGCTGGATCAGAAGTGGAGCATCCAGGACTCCAACCAGCACCCATATGGGATGCTGGCACTGCAGGTAGTAGCTTTACCCGCTATACCACAACACCAGCCCCCAAGGTTGAGTTTTGAGACAACCTAGAGCTCCAGACCACTCTTGGAAGGTGAACTCACTCTCCCATATTCTCCAAGGAACATATATAACCATGTCTCTACTGGTACCCATGACTTTTCTTTGCTTGCATCCATCCCCCAGCCCTGGCTCATCCCTTCTCTGTGCTACGTCGGCCTTCCACTCATCACTTCTACAAAAGCCCTCTGTCAGGGCATAATGCAGTAGGCACCTGTACAGGAGCAGCACATCACACAGAGCACACAACGAGAATGAACGTTAGACTTCTTGAGTTCTCAGAGTGCTGATCATTTCCGTCAGCTCACCATCAAGAATCTCTTTCTGCTACTTCCTATTTTCCTGCTCTCAGCTTTCAGTGTCCATCTGCAGTAGTGGAGGGGGAAACGAATCCTCCCACTTTATTACACGGAATAATTTCCCCATCCAGGTCCCTGAATTTGCTTGCAAAAGTCTCCTACACAGGGTCTTTTGTACAGAAATCCTCCAGGCTTTCCCTCTGTCTCCTTACCAACGAGGTCTTCTTGAGAAATGGTTCTCACACTTTTTGTGTGAGAAAATATATAATTTTCTCTGAAAATTATCAAGTTCTGCCCAGGGCTCTTAGAGAGATTATATCCAGTGGTACTCTGGTAAATGTTTAATAGTTGCCCTTCTGGGAACGGGGAAGCCCTGATTTGTGCTCTTTGCATCATATAAACCATCCCACTACCCATTCTACTACCAATATGTTAAAAATTCACTCACAAAATTTCTGAAAAGTCAATAGTTAGCTCTGATGAGCTGATCCCAGTACCTGCTGGTTGTATCTATCAATATTTACTGTATTAGAAATTTAATATTTATTAAATCCTTTAAGAGTATTAATAAACAATCACTTTTTTTTTGACAGGCAGAGTGGATAGTGAGAGAGAGAGAGACAGAGAGAAAGGTCTTCCTTTGCCGTTGGTTCACCCTCCAATGGCTGCCACGGCTGGCATGCTGCAGCTGGCGCACCTCGCTGATCCGAAGGCAGGAGCCAGGTGCTTTTCCTGGTCTCCTATGGGGTGCAGGGCCCAAGCACTTGGGCCATCCTCCACTGCACTCCCTGGCCACAGCAGAGAGCTGGCCTGGAATAGGGGCAACTGGGACAGAATCCGGCGCCCCGACCGGGACTGGAACCCTGGTGTGCCGGCGCCGCTAGGTGGAGGATTAGCCTATTGAGCCGCGGCGCCGGACAATCACTATTTTTGTAAAAAGAATGGCATTGTTTTAATCTTTGCAAATTTCTTTAATGTTTGGATTAATAGAAAACAATTGGCTTCTCATATCTTTTCTGCATGCATTCTGTGCCACATGCTACTTCGGTTGAAGCATATGAAGAAAAATTAGCCTCATGGAGCAGACACGCTGTACAGTTGAGAAAGAGGGAACTATTTTGATAGGGTTTCTGGTAACTGTGAACATTCTTTGATACTACACCAAAACTCATCAAGTAGTAGTTTCCTAATGATCAGTTGCAATGTGAAATCTGAAAATGTATCCATGACGTATTTTGTACTCCTTTATACTAACAACCATTAAATTATCTTGCACTTTGAGTGGGTCTTTTGTGCATGCATGTTTTTTAATTCCATAAGCCCCTTGAAATAGTCTCAGGGATTCCCACGGGACCCTGGGCCACACTTTGAGGAATCCTATCCCAGATGAGGGGAGTAGAATAAAGGTTAATTTTCCCACTGACATGAATTATGGAACTTTACCCCATTTTATACCTGCTTCTTAGAGGCAGAAGTGGCTGTGGTTGGTTTGGGTTTTAATTACTCTCTGTGTTCTTTCTGGGTATGTTTTGTTCATCAGGAAAGCCCTTCATGTATGTCAATGCTACAGACCTGGATGATCCTGCTACTCTCAATGGTCAGCTTTTCTATCAGATTGCCATCCAGCTTCCCAAAGTCAATGATGTCATGTACTTTCAGATCAACAACAAAACGGGGGCGATATCACTTACCCTGCAAGGTAAGGCAAGCGAGGCTCTCGCAGGACTGTCAGGGTCATAGAATGGGGCTTGGAGCTGTGGCCTTCAGAGACATTTTCTGTTTTCTTCCCCTCTACTTCCCGTAGGAGCTAAGGAACTGGATCCTGCTAAGAATCCTTCCTACAGTCTGGTGGTCTCAGTGAAGGACATGGGAGGCCAGAGTGACAATTCCTTCAGTGACACCACATCTGTGGACATTCTGGTGAAGGAGAATATCTGGAAAGCACCACCACCCGTGACGATTGTAGAAAACTCCACGGAGCCTCACTTCTTCAAAATCACTCAGGTAGTACCAAAATCACAGCTAGAACCTATTAGATAAATGGCCTTACTTTGTAGAGATTCACCCTCATGGTCTTCATTGATACATTTATTAGACATCTTTTTGCATGACATAATCATAAAGCAAGTTCAATAGTCTCTGGTCCTGAGTCTCTGAAGTTCACCATCATGGACAGAAAACTTGGATTCAGCTTACAGAGAGAATTTCACTCACTGTCGCCTTAAAATTGGTAATAGAGATATTTGTTGTTCCCAGACAGTACTGTGGGATGTGATTCTCTTGGAGCAGGTTGTGTATGGTGCACACATCATATACATGCACATGGTTTGAATTTGGGATTGCAAATGTTTTTGAAGGCCTGCTTATCAGTTTTGTGGGAAAAATATTCATCAATAGACACACCCCATTGGAGGCTGAGAGATAGAGATGGCACTTACCAAGGGTTAAAGGAGTCACAGTAGGCAGCCTTTACCTTGCAGACACCCTTGTTCCATCTCCTGTGTGTACCTCTCCCCATTTCCATTCAAATTCTCTTCCTTACTCCCTTCCTAACCTTAGCTTCCAGAAATCCACTCTGGACTTCACACAGAGCTAATATTTTCTGGAAGCTCAGGAGGCTTTTGGGCATGAAAAGCTGTGGGTTAGTGGGAGAGCCCTGGATTTGGAAGAAGATGATCAAAACCATGTTCTTTGTCCATTATTTTAATGGTCGATTACAAACAAGTAGTGTAACATTCTGAATCATAATTTCTCATCAGTAAAATGGGAATAATAACACTTCTCATGTTTGTTGTGAAGACTCAATGAGGTAGTATCTGTGAAAATAGATAAAAAGTATTATAATAATATAAACAGATACCAGTCTATGGTTCCCCTAAGATGAAAACAATGATGCTATTGTGAAAGCACTCTGGAATGGCCCCAGTCATATCTTTTGCCTAACTTAAAGGACTTTTACTTACTGAATTTGAATTAATTGAATTTACATTTATATTTATTTTAAAAGAGAGCAAGTCAACAATTGTTACCATGAGAATTTTAGATTGGGGCCTGAATTAGAGTTTTCCTACTTATTATTCAGGTTATGCCCATAGAAATGTATAAGTGCTAGAAAGAACTCCAGGCTTAGTTGATTTGGGGACTGTCAAAGAAGAGAAACTCTGGGGATGCCACCTGCCGTTTTCAGGGCTGGAGAAAGTGCTTTGTGTGCCCTGAAGCCATGAAGAAGGGTGGAGAGGCACAGTTCAAGAAAGCCCAGTGCAGGCTGAGTTTTTAGGACACAAGGGGTGCTCACTTTAGAAGGAAGAGCATAGTCTTTGGCATGGACAGTGGGTGGTGCTGCAATAACTAGCAATGGACAAAAAGTGGTTCCCTTGCTACTTTCCCAAGCTACTCTGAGAGAATGTTTTTTTCTTGATGTTTATTTACTTGAAAGGCAGAGCACCAGAGGGAGAGAGAGAAAGATCTCCCATCTGCTGGTTCACTCACCAAATGGCTGTAACAGTGTAATAGTCAGGGCTGGGCCAGGCGGAGGCCAAGAGCCAGAGATTCCATCTGGGTCTCTCCCATGGGTAGCAGAGACTCAAGTACTTGAGCCATCATTTGCTGACTCTCAGGGTGTGCATTAGCAGGAAGCTGGATTGAGAGCAGTGTGGCTGGAACCTGAAGCCAGGCATTACAATATAGGATGCAGGCACCCCGAGTGGCAGCTTAACTCTGTGCCACAACACACACTCCATGAGAGAACGTTTAGTATGGAAACCTCGACTAGCTCTAGGGCCTTGGGCAGATCGATTGCATTTGTTTGTGTGTGTGTGTGTGTGTGTACACGCCCTAGTTTCCTCACCTGTGAAATGGGAATAATAGTAATCTGTATAGGACTGTGCAAGAATTACATGAGATAAAATATCAACATGTTTAGAATTATGTTTGGCATGTGGTAAACTCTTAATAAAAGTTAATATTAGTATTAGAATATCAGAGACATCAGACTCTGTACAGCCAGTAGACTGGTCTTAAAACTGAGATTATTTATTTATTTTTATCAAGTTTTTTGCCAAACAACTCTAGGAGTTTGCAGTTTTTCTTATCCCTGAAGATTTTTTTAAACTTTAAATCCATATATAGATTTTTTATAATACACATTTTCAGTAAGTTTTTTAAGATTTATTTATTATATATTTGAAAGAGTTACACAGAAGAAGAGGGAGGGAGGGAAAGAGAGAGAGAAGGAGGGCGGCTGGTCGGTCAGTTGGTCAGTTGGTCGGTCAGTCGGTCAGTCTGTCGGTCTGTCTTCCATCCACTGGTTCATTCCCCAGTTGGCTGCAAAGGCCAGAGCTGCGCCCATCCAAAGCCAGGAGCTTCTTCCGGGTCTGCAATGTGTATGTGGGGGCCCAAGGACTTGGCCATTTTCTACTGCTTTCCCAGACCATAACAGAGAGCTGGATTAGAAGTGGAGCAGCTGGGACTCGAACTGGCATCCAAATGGGATGCTGGCACTGCAGGCAGTGGCTTTACCCACTATGCCACAGCGCTGGTCCCATCCCTGGAGTTTTTAACACTGAAGATTCCGGGGACAGGATGGGCCTTCCTTGTGTGCCATTTGTCCTAATTTAGATACTAGTATGGAGAGTTCAAAAGTCCCTCCTCTTATTCCTCTTCATTGGTGAATTTCAAAGCTCATCATACATCACAGCTTCTTTCTCAGCCAGTGCTTGCTACAAAGTCCATTTTGTTTCCTAAACTGACATTTCATGGATAGGGATCCTTCAGGGTCAGACTTCCAAATGCAAACAACCCACAGACTCCTGAGAGGATTTGAATTGTTTGATAGAAGACAAATCCCGTTGCTGTGGTTTTCTTGAGTACTGTAATTTTTTAAGGGCTTATTTTTAGGTTGAAAGTGAAAAACGTGGTTTTTTTGTTTCAAGAAACCGCCAACTTCTAAACCAGGTTGTCAGAGCTGCAAATGGAGAACCAGAAGACTGTTCCCTTCCTTCCCAGTGTTCTTGATCCAAATGCCTCTCATTCCATCCATTTTCGGCCCCACAGGTGCAGTGGAATGAGCCAGGTGCACAGTATTCCCTAGTGGAGAAAGAGAAGCTGCCGAGGTTCCCGTTTTCCATCGACCAGGAAGGAAACATTTACGTGACGCAGCCCTTGGACCGAGAAGAAAAGGACTCGGTGAGTAACAGAGGAAGAGTTGCAAAGGCGACGAGGAAAAGTCCAGTGGCCACCTGCACTTGAGAGAAAATAAAAATTAAAAATAGAAAGAAAAAAATCTGTTTTCTACACCCCGTCATATCATTGGCTCTCAGAGGCACAATCGTTTGGCAATTTCCCCACAAATCCAACCCATTTCACTTTAGTCTTATTTCCTATTTGTAACTAAATTGAAAATAAGGGATCTCATGATATAGAAATGAAACGACTCTTTTCTCTGCCTTTTAAAGGGGCTAGTGAAGGAGTCTTCTCTTAACCCCGGCCTTCCTGTTTCAGTATGTTTTTTATGCAGTTGCAAAGGATGAGGTTGGAAAACCACTTGCATACCCACTGGAAATTTATGTGACTGTTGAAGACATCAATGATAATCCACCTATGTGTCCATCTGCACTGACTGTATTTGAGGTCCAGGAGAATGAAAGATTGGGTAAGAAATGAGCTGTTCAGTGCCGTGTAACTTCCTCCCTGTGTTAACTTTGCAACCCCTTCTCTCTGTTGGCTAAAACGTGGGTAGGTAAACCTAATTGGGGTCATAGAAAATGTTGAACCCAACTTAGGAGTCATGGAGGTACAGTATTTTGGATCAAAAAGTACTTGGGTAGAAGTCTTTTTTAAAAAGTTTGTATTTATTTATTTATTTGAAAGGCAGAGAGAGAGAGAGAGAGAGAGATCTCCCATCTTTTAGTTCACTCTGCAAATACTCAATATCCAGGGCTGGCCAGGTCGAAATCAGGAGCCTGAAATATAATCAGGGTCTCCCATGCAGATGGCAGGGACCATCGTATGCTGTCTCCAAGGCACATTAGCAGGAAGCTGGAAAAGGGAGTGGAGCCAGGGCTGGAACCCAGGTACTCTGATTTAGGATACAGGTGTATCAACTGCATCTTTTTTTTTTTTTTTTTTTGACAGGCAGAGTGGACAGTGAGAGAGAGACAGAGAGAAAGGTCTTCCCTTGCCGTTGGTTCACCCTCCAATGGCCGCCGCGGCCGGCGCGCTGCAGCCGGCGCACCGCGCTGATCCGATGGCAGGAACCAGGAGCCAGGTGCTTTTCCTGGTCTCCCCTGGGGTGCAGGGCCCAAGCACCTGGACCATCCTCCACTGCACTCCCTGGCCACAGCAGAGGGCTGGCCTGGAAGAGGGGCAACCGGGACAGAATCCGGCGCCCCAACCGGGACTAGAACCCGGTGTGCCGGCGCCGCTAGGCGGAGGATTAGCCTATCAACTGCATCTTAATCACTAAACCTAACTCCTGTCTGTCTTCCTCCTCTTCCTCCTCCTCCTTCCTCTTCCTCCCTCTCCTCTCCTTTCACCCGTTACTCCTCTTAGTCTTTTAAAATTTTTATTGAAACATGCCTGTATTTGGGTATAGGGTTTTTAAAGAGGTGACTAAGGTAAAATGAGGTCCTTACCAGGGGCCGTAATCCAAAATGACGAGTGTCCTCATAGAAGGGGAGATGTGGACCCAGCGAGGTGCAGAGGGAAGAGGATATGAAGCCCTGGGAAGAGAAGAGAGCCAGCTTCGAGCCAAGGAGAGAGGCTTCCGAAGACACGAACCCAAGCAACACCTTGACCTCAGACTGTCAGCCTGCAGAACTGGAAGAAAATGAATTTCCATGGTTGAAGTCACTCAGTTCATGACACTTTATGGCAGCCTTAGCAAAGTGATATGCTACAGTGTTTGACCCATGACACCATGGAAGGGGTCACAGGGCCGAAGTAAATCTGAGAGCCTGTGCCTGCTCCTTGGAGTTATTTATGGGATTTTCTAGGAACTTATTTATCCAGCAAAGCCTTTTAAAAAGTAAAAGATTGCATGGAGCCTGTAATGGGTGCATTCTCTCTCTTGTTCTCCACAGGCAGCAATATTGGGACACTGACTGCCCAAGACAGGGATAAGGAAAACACCCCCAGCAGCTTGTTAATGTACCGGATTGTGGAGCAAGTCCCCAAAATTCCTGCAGATGAACTCTTCCTGGTTGAAAAATTTGAGGGGAAGTTCCAGTTGGGTAAACAGTCCTTGAAGAAGCAAGATACCCCTCAGTACAATTTAACAGTAGAAGTATCCGACCAAGGTTAGTATTGGAGCTGCTGCCGTGAGTACACAAAACTGCTTCCCTTCTAGTTCTTCTCTGTTAGGATGCTCTGATCCCTGGATATGTGAGTCTTAGAGGAGGAGGCCAACTCCAGTTCTTTGCTTTCCTTGTGAAACACATGCATGCAGAGGCAGCCAGTTCTGTTCCATACAGGTCAGTGATGTGGCCAAGAGGGCGTTGGAGTTATAAGGATTTTACTAGGCAGATGCTTTTGAGAACAACTGGGGAGGCGGGTACACAGCGAAGGCTGGGTGAGCCCATAGACCATAATACAAGCCTGACCCTGAGCGAAGGAGAGAGTGGGGATGGGAGTTGGGGGGAATGCCCTGGACCCCTGGGAAGTCTATCGAGAGTTTATCATGGTGGTCAGGGAGTCCAACACAGGCCATCACAGGAGTCTGTTATCTCTGCGAATGGGCCTACCGTGGTACCACTGCTGTGCTCAGCCGCTGGCTGTGGGTGTCCCAGGGAAGTGAGGTCCCAGTGCAACTGCAGCGTTGGATTTCAGAGCACAGCCATGGGGCTGTCATCAGTTCATATTCCAGTTGTAGAAGTCTGCACATTCTTTTGTTCTGAGAGGTAGAGTTACAGACAGAGGGAGATAGTAAGGTCTTCTTTCCACTGGTTCACTCCCCAAATGGCCAAAATGGCCAGAGCTGTGCTGATCCAGAGCCAGGAGCTTCTTCCAGGTCTCCCATGCGGGTGCAGGGGCCCAGGCATTTGGCCATCTTCTACTGCTTTCCCAGGCCATAGCAGAGAGCTGGATCAGAAGTAGAGCAGCCGCAACTTGAACCAGTGGCCGTATGGGATGCTGGCACCACAGGCAGAGGATTAACCTGCAGCACAGCGTCGGCCCCCTGCACATTTCATGCTCATAAGATTTCCCAGTTTTTCCTTTGGGACCGCTGTATGAAGGTGGAGTAGTAATGCATCTTTTGGGGAAGTTCTGCCTTCTCCTATGTGCTTCCAGTTGGCAATTTGATGACATCACCAGACTTAATTCCTCACTTCAGAGCAGGTGGTTTTTAATATTGGTTGGGTCACAAGACCCTTTAAGAATCTGATGAAAACTATGTTTTCTCAAATAGTTGCTCACTGTGTTAGACAAAAGTGCATGGATACACAAAAATACACTTATCTAGAGAGAGCGAGAGTGAGAGAGGGTGAGTGAGTCATTTACAGGGCACTCAGATGAGTGTAGATGGTCAAGAACCCTTCCTTGAGTTAACTAGCACTAGATCAAAGATTACCAAATAATGTAGTAATTGTTGTACTGGGAGTCACAGATTGTGTAGAGATAGAGAAGAAAAGAAAAGAACATGATTTCACACTGGGCTTCACACTTATCTCCTTTGCATGGATGTTCCTATGCTGGGAGAACCAGTGTTTAGCAGGCCCCCAGAGTAGAACATTTGAAAGCCAGCAGTCTGACAAATACTGAGGTTCCAATGTTTGTCTCACATTGTGTTGAGGTACAGCAGAAGTTACTATAAGAAATCGCTCTTCTCTATGATGAACTAAGAATTTCACACATTAGCCATGCATTCTTTCAGCAAACAGCCATTGAGCTTTTACTGTGAGGCACCAGGCAGGATATTGGGATATACAGATGAGTAGGACCCAAGGTTGGTCCTGAAGGACCCTCAGGAAAGAAGGGTCATTCTGATGGAGGAGAGGGACATGTGAATCAATACATTTCAAGGGACACATCCTATGTAGCCCATGAAGAAAATGAGGAACTCAGTGGAGGGAGAGCGCTATGGTTTTCTGGAAGGTGTCACTGCTGAGTCTTGGAAGATGTGTGACAAGTGACAAAGCTGTGTAGGGCTTATTGTGAGAGCAACAATCCCACATGCTAATGCTGGGAGACCTGAAGCAGTTTAAAGTGATAAGAGCATAAAATAGAAATTAGATTATAAATTGCTTGTGTTCATAAGTGCTACTATAGAAAATATGGACCAGATTATAAAACTTACATATAGTGTATATGTTGATGGAATGAAACACTTAATTGTACACTACAGAAAACTAGAGATTAGGCTATCATTAACATGGCTTTACATAAAAATCAAGGAGGGCCTGTTATCTAAGAAGTGTGCTGTTGGCCCAAACAAGGTTTGAGCGGAGCATTGAGTCCATGAGTTCAGGGCCTGTAACCACCCCAGTCTTCAATCACATGTGTGTCTCCACATATTCTGGAAGCTGGACCCAACTTGAATCAGTAGCTGCTTGCTGATCATTTGATCAGTGCCCAGCATCATATCTGATGTATGGATCACAAGGTCTCAGGTTAGACTATCTGAGCATCTCAGATCCCTGCAGGAGTGTGATGGGCTTTGCAAAGGGTACCAAAAAGAATCTGAAGAAAGGATTATTTGTTAAGGTTGTAAGGTTCTAGGCAGGGTTAAGGGAAACCAACAGGAGGTATGAGGCAGGGTGGACAGCCCATGGTGTCAAGGGAAGGGAGCAAGACGTGTCTGTAGCCATGGGAGAGGGGGACCCCCCGCCACTTGACTCCTGCCCTTCCTTAGTCTCCTGCCAGAGCTTCCTGATGGCAGAACCCAACTGTTACCCAGAGGGATGGCATCCGTTGATGCAGGTGGTGAGGTCAGCCTCCTGGGGCACAGAGCAGGGCGAGGAGTGGCAGTGGTGGAAAGTGCACAGGGTTTGAGTCCTGGCGCCCTCGCTAGCTGTGTGACCTTAGGCAGTTACTTACCTTCTTCATCTCCTGGAGGCTCCATCTGTCACCTAAGTGGAATGATAACAGTATCTTGGTCAGGACACGACTATGAAGGTAAACAACACAGGTAAAGCACTCAATCCAGGGCCTGGCACATAGATGCCACTCATCATTGTTATGAGGAGAGCCTCGATTCTGTTATTGTCTACATTTTATAGACAAACTGAGGTACACAGACACTTTGTAGCACATCCAAGCTCTCACATATCTGCTAGCCAGAATCCCCAAGCCCAGAGTCCTGGCCATCATGCAGTACAGTTTGCTGTGGTCATAACAGTGGCAACCACAACCGAGAACCTGCCATTTTCTTGCTTGTGCTGGCTCTCTCCCCAGGCATTGCATGCCCACCTGGCCTCCATGCTCTTCTCAGGTCTGGGGTTGACCTGCTGTATCTGAGTAGGTCTTTGAATGGTCAAACCTGCCCCTAAAAGCCTGGGCTGTTTCCCAGGGTCCCGTGGTGGCCCGTTAGCCTCCTGTAGGGGAAGGTAATTGTTCCACTTTCTCTCTTCTTAAGGGCGGGGGGGCTAGTAACCCTGAATCTCCCCATCAGAGAGCCCAGACCAGATGTAGGATGGCTGTATTCAGAAAAGAAAAAACATTCGCTGGAATGCCCAGGGAAGCATTTCCAGCAGGATAGTTTTGTAGTGGATTTTGAAGACTATATGCGTTGCACTAGTCAGAAGGAGAGAGACTCCTGCACAAAAAAGGGGCCATCCCGCTCAGGAACAACCCTTCCCTGGGATGCAGACAGGTGGAGAGCAATGGGGAGCCCGGGGAAACTTCTCTCCATTCTTTCTTCCGCCTCCACCTTGGTGACCTGCTTGTGCAGGTGAGGAGTAGAGAAATCTCTTTCCATGTAAATTACAAGTCAGTTGCAAAAATTGTGGCAATAGCTGTTATTTCACTTGTCATTTTTTTTCTTGTAGATTTCTGATCTTAATGCATTATTTTCAGTGAAAATTTCTGTGATGTGACTTTGGTTTTCAGATTTCAAGACCCTCTGTCTTGTGCAAATCAACGTTATTGATATCAATGATCAGATCCCCATCTTTGAAAAGTCAGATGTGAGTAGTTGTCACTGTTCATTTTTCCTTTCCTTTGTTTATATTATACTTGACCCTGACTTCTGGGATAAAGACAGATAAATTTCCAGGGGGAAAATGCCAGACTTAACACACAGCCTTGCTTAGTACACCAATAACAAACCCAGATACCATCTTCAGTGCAAATCTCCAGGGAACAGTAATATTTACTGTTACTGTATCTGGGAGCAACTGTTTATAAATTCCTGCCAGCCTTCATTTATTCCAAGGGCTGCTTAAAAGCTACAGCCACAATCTTTGTCAAATGGAAGGGAGTTGAATAGCTACTTGTAGTTTGTCACTACCTATTTTGTGTGTGTTAGGATAATAGATTACTGCTAAGTCTTAAACAGCATTTTTTGGCCAAAAATTTAGTATTTGGAATATCAGCAACTGAAAGTTATTTTGTAATAATGGAGTAAGAGCAAAAGAGAAGAAATAAATGAATCTGTGGCTTGAGCCAAAGGGAAAAAAAATGTGCTGTGACGTTTGCAAGAATCGGGAGAAGTGGGCATAATGAGAAGAAGGTTAATTTAGAACATCAAGAAAAATGCAGGTTACTCTTTCCTTGTTGGTGAAATGGGCTTAAGACTTGATGATGGCATTGTCACTGCTTCCCTGGATAGAGATGGCTCTGTTTATTTGCAAGGAGAGAGAAACCCGTTTGACTGGGTTGTTAGGTCACGTTAGAAGCAGTTACGGGGCAGCCAGAGCCCTGTGATGCTGTTCGTAAATCTAAGCAGGGACAAGGCTGTGACAAAGAAGGGAATTGATTTCTGAGGAGGCTCGGGGAGGTAAGAGGTGTGACTGGATGTTACCTTGTATAACAGTCACTGAAAGTAGATCTTTGTAAAAATTAAGAGTGGGGATAGGAGAGGGAGGAGGAAAAAGGGAGGGAGGGTAGGGTGAGAAGTATCACTATGTTACTAAATTTGTATATATGAAATACATGAAACTTGTACAACTTAAATAAAATTTTTTAAAAGGTGACTGTGAGTAAGCAAGCAGGACTTAAAGGACTTGTTTCTTCTTAGCCCCCGTTTTTGTGGGCACCTCATCTCTTCCTAGTGTCATAATCTCCCTGTGTTTCATCTAGATGGCACTTTTTAGATTGAGGGCTGGAAGCTTGCTTTGGGAGTCTTAGACGTAATGAGAAGTGCAAATCTGGCTATAGAGAGGGTGAGCTTGCCTTTGTCACTACCATGGTCCTCTCTCGAGCCTCCCTGTTGCCATCTTTAAGATGTGATGCCAAGAGAGCTGACCTGGGGAACTTGCAGGGGGAGTGGGAGATGTTCTATGCCAGGGGTTTAGGAGTTGAACAATGATGACATTGAATTCCAACTCTCTGATTCACTGGCTGTGTGATCCTGGGTTTAACCTCTCCAATTCTTTGCTCCTTTTTTAAAGGGAGATAATATATGTGAATTAACGGTAAAGCTAGCCTTCAAACAGTACTTTATACTTTGTGTGTCTGTGTGGGTGCAATCTGTTGAAATCTTTACTTAGTACATACTAAGTTGATCTTCTGTATGTAAAGATAATTAAAAATGAATCTTAATGAAGAATGGGATGGGAGAGGGAGTAGGAGATGGGATGGTTTGCAGGTGGAAAGGTGGTTATGGGGGGAAAACCGCTATAATCCAAAAGTTGTACTTTTGAAATTTATATTTATTAAAGTTTTCTTTAAAAAATGGAGATAATATAAGGTGTTTTATTGCTTGCCTTCATTGAGCACGTACTGTGTACCAGGCATTCAGGGACTTTCCATGTATTATCTCTCTTATCCTACACAGCAAGCATGAAGTAGGGTAGCTCCTATTATCTCCATAACACAGATGGTGAAACTGACCCTTAAAAAGTGAGGTAACTTGCTACAAGTCACCCAACTAATAAACAACAAGTTTAGGACTCATAATTGGGCCATGTGGTCCCAGAATTCAAGCTTTTAACCTCTATTCCTTGGTTGATTTAAGAATCAATGTAAAAAGTATAGGAATAGTGCCTGCCACATTGTAGGTACTCAAAATATCCCAACTGTTTATTGATACAATTACTATAATAATAGTTACAGTTGATTAAACATGCTTGGATAGAGGAGGAGGAATGTGTTTTAGAATTCTAGTAGTTGTTCTCTGAAATGTTGTTTTCCTTGGTGCCATGGATATTGGTTCATGAATATGGCTGATGTGAAAATCAACTGCAATTTATCCATCAACAGGAAAAACCTACCCCATCAATATTAATAAAACTATGACTTGTGTCCATTGTGAAACCAAAGAGATGGTTCTATTTGATAACAATGGATGTTCTCATTCTTTTCTTCGCCTGTTCTTCCTCAGTATGGAAACCTGACTCTTGCTGAAGACACAGGTGTGGGGTCCGTCATCTTAACCATCCGAGCCACCGATGCTGATGAGCCGTTTACTGGGAGTTCTAAAATCCTCTATCGGATTATAGAGGGAGACAGTGAGGGACGACTGGAGGTTGACACGGATCCCCAAACCAGTGTGGGCTATGTCAAGATCAAAAAGGTGAGTAGCCATTTGCATTTGTCCTTCTTGGTGGATTAATTTACTTATGATTGTGTGAAGACCTGCAAGCAGAGGTAACATTAACGGTGACCACTCAGGTCATGGCAATGGGCGCCCAGAATACTTGTCATGTCTGCCCTCCTGCCAGACAGAAAGTAAGGATTCTAGTCTTGGCTCTGTCACTAACTGGCTAAGTGACTTTTATAGGGAAGTAATATTCCCAAGTAAAATATATAAAACATGATACAATTTTTTAGCATCAGTATGTTCCATGCAATATTTGGGACATACCCTAAAAACTTGCTTATCTGACACCATATTTCCTTAGCAATGCTCTATTATTTGCTAACTCCAGCAACTGTGAGGGGTGGGGAGTGGCACTCAGGACTTCACTTGCCCCTTTGCAGACGTGAGTTTGGATGGATGAGCCCTGTGGGTCCTTTAGGCTACAGATACTTCTAAAGTGCCAGGTCTTGAGTCTTCATTGGTAGTTCTTCGTTCAAGGCTAAAGACAAGTTCATCCTTTCATCCCCATCCTTGGTAAAGTGTACATATATGTCTGTGAAGTTATCCCTTTCTTCTAGGTTATCAAATCTGTTGCCATATAATTGTCCATAATAATGCTTTTCATTTCTGTGTTCTCACTTGTAATGCCTCCCTTCTTGACTCTGATTTTATTTGAATCTTTTCTCTTTTTTTCTTAGACTAGCTAAGGGTTTGTCAGTTTTGTTTATCTTTTCAAAGTACCACTCTGTTTCATTGATTTTTTTTTTTTGTATTTTTTTGTTTCTATGTCATTTATTTCTGCTCTGAGCTTTATTTCTTTCCTTATATTAAATTTTGGTTTTAGTTCTTTTCTTTTTCATTGAGATGCAATAGTGAGTTGTTTGAGATCTTTCTGCTTTTTGATGTAGGCAATGATTGCTATAAATTTCCCTCTTAGTCCTGTTATTGCTGAATTTCATAAGTCTGGAGATGTTGTGTTTTCATTTTCACTTGTTTCAAGAAAAATTTCTTTAAATTTCCTTCTTAATTTCTTCCTTGATCTATTGATTTTTCAGGAGTAAATTCCTTAATTTCCATGTATTTAATTGCCAAAGTTTTCTTGTTATTGATTTTTAAGTTTATTGCATTGGGATCAGAATATGTAGCTAATATGACTTAGAAATTTGTTGAGATTGTTTTGATCTATCCTGGAAAATGTTCCTTGTGCTTCTGAGAAGACCGTATATTCTGCAGCTGTTGGATGGAAAATTCTGTGCATGTCCATAGGGTACACTTCAGTATTTCTTTGTTGATTTTCTACCTGAATGATCTGTTGATTTCTGAAAGTGAGTGTTAAAGTTCCCTTCTAGTATTTCATTAGAGTTTATCTGATATAAATATATTAATATTTGCTTTATTTGAATACTCTGATTTGGGTACATATATATCACAATTATTTCCTCTTTCTGGATTAAATCCTTTATCACTATATAATGACCTTACTTGTCTCTCTTTACTGCTTTTGATCTGAAATCTACTTTATCTGATAGAAGTATATTAGTCTTGCTTGTTTTTGTGTTCCCTTGCCTGAGATATATTATTCTGTCTATTCACTTTTTTTTTTTAAACCACAATGAGGTTTTTTTTTTTTTTTTTTTTTTTTTTTTTTAATTTATTTGACAGAGTTAGTGAGTGAGAGAGAGAGGTCTTCTTCCGGTGGTTCACTCCCCAAATGGCCGCTACGGTCGGAGCTACGCCGATCTGAGGCCAGGAGCCAGGTGCCCCCTCCTGGTCTCCCATGAGGGTGCAGGGCCCAAGCGCTTGGGCCATCCTCCACTGCCCTCGCAGGCCTCAGCAGAGAGCTGGACTGGAAGAGGAGCAACCGGGACTAGAACCCAGTGCCCATATGGGATGCTGGCGCCACAGGCAGAAGATTAACCAAGTGAGCCACGGCGCCGGCCCCTATTCACTTTCTATATGTGTCTTTAAAGGTGAAGTGAATTTCTTCTAAGTAGCATATAGCTGGATCTTGCTTTATCCATTCAGTCACGATATATCTTTTACTTGGAAAATTTAATAAGGTAATTATGATGGTAAGGTCTTATTCCTGCTTTTTGAGACTTGTTTTCTAGTTTCATTGTAGTTTCTTTCTCTCTTTCATTTGTTGTTAAATGAGTTTCTCTAGTAGTGTACTTTGACTCACTGTTCGTTAATTTTGGTAAGTTTATTATGGGATTTTTGCTCTGTGGTTACCACAAAGCTTAAAAAACCTTATTTTGTTTAAAACAAGGTGTTTTGAAATGATATCTACTTGACATTGATTACAAATGTACAGAAAGAAACAAGAGCTAAGAAATACACATTAAGAACTCTTACATGTACATTCTATCCCTTCCCATATTTTGGATTTTTGATGTCTCATTTTACATCTTGATAGAAATACCTGACTCTCAACATATTAATGTAGTTTTTATTTTCAGTTGCTTTGCTTTTCTAGCTTATGTACCATATTTACTGTATTAGAAGCATTCTGAATTTGTCCATGCAGCTACTCTTACCAGTAAGTTTTATACCTTCTGATATTTTCTTCTTAGCATCTCTTTCTTTTAATTTGGAAAAACTCTCCCTTTAGCATTTATTGTAAGGCAGGTCTGGTGGCAGTCTAGTCTCTGTTTTTGTTTGGGAATGTCTTTATGTCAGCTTCATGTCTGAAGGGTAGCTTTGCCGGGTACAGCGTTTTTGGGGGTCAGGTTTTTTTTCCCTTCATTCTAATCCCTCCTTCTGAAGGAAGAAGTCTGAAGTCAGATGAACTGGGACCTCTTTGTGTTTTTGTTTCTTCTCTCTTGCAGCTTTGAGAATCCTGTCTTTAGCCTTGGAGAGCTTGATTATTCTGTCTCTTGGGGCAGATGTGGTTGAATTGAATCTGATGACCTGTGACCTTCTTACACCTAGAGAATTGTATCTTTTTCTAGGTCTGGCAAGTTTTCTGTTATTACCTCTTTGAATATATTTTTACCCTTCTGGTATTTTAAATTCCTTTGTGAACCCCAGTTACTTCTCTGGTCATATGTATTTGGTATCCTATAGTCCTATAGGTTGGGAACATTTTTTTTTTTTTTGACAGGCAGAGTGGACAGTGAGAGAGAGACAGAGAGAAAGGTCTTCCTTTGCCGTTGGTTCACCCTCCAATGGCCACCACGGCCAGTGTGCTGTGGCTGGCGCACTGCGCTGATCCGAAGCCAGGAGCCAGATGCTTCTCCTGGTCTCCCATGGGGTGCAGGGCCCAAGGACCTGGGCCATCCTCCACTGCACTCCCGGGCCACAGCAGAGAGCTGGACTGGAAGAGGGGCAACCAGGACTAGAACCTGGTGCCCTGACCGGGACTAGAACCCAGTGTGCCGGCACCGCAGGCGGAGGATTAGCCTAGTGAGCCACGGCGCTGGCTGGTTGGGAACATTTTCAACTATTCATTGAATAGGTTTACATGCCCTTAGTCCTCTCTTCCTTCTCAGGGATTCCCAAAAATTTGGAAGGTTTTTCACTTCCTTGTGAAGGTCTCAGTTGCTGTCTTCCTTCTTTGTCACTGTGCCTGTGCCTGACTGGGACATTTCACAGGTCTGTCTTGGAGTTCAGATGTTCTGTCTTCTGCTTGATCTAGTCTTATTGAGGTTTTCAACAGCATTTTTAAATTTTCTTAGAGTTTTTCATTTTTTCTTCTTTTTTTTTTTTTTTTGACAGGCAGAGTTAGTGAGAGAGAGAGACAGAGAGAAAGGTCTTCCTTTTCCGTTGGTTCACCCTCCAAGTGGCTGCTGTGGCCGGCGCACTGTGCCGATCCAAAGCCAGGAGCCAGGTATTTCCTCCTGGTCTCCCATGCAGGTGCAGGGCCCAAGAGTTTTTCATTTCTAAGATTTCTGTCCGATCCTTTTTCAAGATCTCTATCGTTTAATTTCTCATTCATGCCATGCATTGTTTTACTAATTTCTTTATTCCTTATATTTGTACAAAAGAATATCCTCTACTCTCTCCTCTTTTTGAGTATCATTGTAACCATCCTTTGTCAGGCATTTCACAGTTTCCTCCTCTTTGATGTCTGTCACTAAAGTATTATTGTTTTCCTTTAGAGGCATCAGAATGCCTAGCTTTTTCATATTTGCTGTGTCCATGCAGTGATATTTGCGCATTGGGTAGATCACTTGCTCTACTGCTTTTTAAGTGTGGCTTTTGTGGTAGAAGGCTTTTTTTCTAAAGATGTGTTTTCAGGTGTCAGTTTGGTCTGCTTCTTTGGCTTTAGTTCCAGAGGGAGCACACAGTGTCTTCTCCCTATACTTTCCTCTGCTGCAATTGACGGCTACAGCGGTGGGGCCCTGGGGTGCTCTTCAGTCCCAGTGGTGTCATTGTGTCCAGTGGTGGAGCTGCAGAAGCACTTATCTGTAGTATTGGTGGGTTGCTGGGTCCTGGCAGCTGCCCAAGAGGGTAGAGATGGGTCTGTGGTAGCCCATGGGTCAGGGCCATGGTTTTAGAAATGCTCTTGGCAGACGATCTGAGTGGGGCAAGCATTTCAGGCTTTGGCTGTGCAGCTGGGTTCACAGGAACACCAGCCTATTATCCTTGTGAGATGCTGTGCTTCTGACCATGGCTTGCTCTTAGCAGGGTGGTGGCTGGGACTGTAGGAGCTTTAGACCACAGTTGGGACTGAGAGAATGGTCCTGGTTGTGGTCCAGAGTGGAAAGGACAGGGTCCCAGGAGCGTTGGCCTGTAGTCCTGATGGGGCGTGTTGGGGGCGGGATGGCTCATCGTCCCAGGTCACAGGATGCTGTTAGCAAGCAGTCTGGGTGAAGTGAGAAGACACAGCAGTGGTCCAAGTGGCTGAAGTCTCGGGCTGGTAGTCCTTGCAGGGTCCCACAGTCAGCAAGGGTGTTGGGGCGGAAATCTGGTAGGGCAGGTGTCCCTGCTTCTAGGTCCTAGGCGCAGAATGCCCCTGTCCCCTGCAGTGCTGAGTGCTGCCTGGACCGGGG